TGTCGGCTGGCAATTCTTTGACTTCTAAGTCCGATTTCTGTTCATCTACCTCGGGAGCGCATTTCTCTTGATTCTGTGTTGAATCCTCGACCAAAACCGGAACTGGGACATTCGGAATGTCATCGCTTGGCTCAATTGTTTCCGACTCTCTTTTGGCATTCGAATTCTCCAAAGCACTTGAGTCTTCACCGGTGTTAGTCTCAACGACTGGGGCTTCATTGATATCGTCTGTAGGTGCTAAATCCTGAACAATATCGTCCTCGACGTGGGAATCTTCCACGTGATCTTCTACGTCACCTGTCTCGACCTTTTCGGATGGGCCTCCATGAGTTTCAGTATCATCATCGATGTCCCTCGATTCTAATTCTTTCGAGATGTCCTCATTTGCCTCAGAGTAAGATTCGTTCAAAATAGCTTCTTTGTCCACCTGATCTTCCCCAACTTCGAGAGTATCAATATTTTCGGGTCCAGCTTTTCGGGACTTGGCATTTCGGCTTCGTTGTCTTCAGAAGGCTCATCTTTCAAGCCCTGTGTATCCTGTTCCTCCGCAGTGGTGTCTTTTGAAGTTCCTACGGTCTTTGATTGGCGCCACTAGATCCTTCCCTCTCGTCGACAGCTTGAAGGCCGTTATCAATTGTGACTGATGCCTCGACAGGTACAGATGCCGACTCGGTTGAATTGATGATCCCTTCTTGAATATTAGGTTCTTCGGAAGGACTGTTCTCAATGGATTCCTCGCTCAATTGAGCTTCGCTTTCGGGTTCCGAGACAATGCCCTTCTCAAACACATGTTCAGCAAGAGGTGGTGCTTCCTGACTGAGGTTTGTACTTTCTTTCACAACAGCCGGTTCAACGCTAGAGGGAACATCGTCCTTCGGTTCTATCTCGTCGCTTATTGTAGGTGTCTCTATGTGACTCGGATCCTTTTCGCCGATGGCATTTGTCGAAATGGATTCGACAGGGTCTGAGGACTCTTCGCTATGGACCGAACTTTCGTTGGTTATGGTTGAAGCATCCTCACTGCTTGGAATCTCTTCTGTTACCTCGGATTCTTGTGGACTATGTTCATCCGGAGGAAATACCTCCTCATTAGTGACCGGATTTTCTACTGTAGCTTCCGAAACAGGCTCGCTGCTGGAGTCCTCGGTATTCACGTCCAGCCCATCTGCGGTTGTAGACTTATCGTCAGTAATTTCAGGCGCTTCGTTTGGAACAGGAATTTCTTCATGAATTTGGACGTCTTGGTAAACAATGGGAGTTTCTTTCGTATTCGCAATCTCTCCCACTTCCCTCTGTACATCTTCCACTGTTGAGACATCACCCGCAGAGACCTCTCCCGTAATTGAATGTTCCCCCGTGCTTGGAACGTCTTCGCCTTCCACCTGTGCGTTATCTAAAGCTGGCGCATCACTCGTTGACTTCTCCTCCGTGGCTGGATGTACTTCAGGTTGCGTCGGAACACTCTCTTGTATAGGAATTGATTCTTTTTTCTCTACGTCCTCGCCGGGATTATCGTCTGATATGGCGGCGGGTTCGGGATCTATTTGGATGATAGTAAGCGTGTGAAATGGATATACGAGTATTAACCGAAAATTGATATTTCAAAGTTCCATCAAGGATTAGTGATACTCACCCGATGCTGGCTGAACAACTCCTGGAGTTTCCTGTGGCTCCTGGGCCGAATCCACGCCCTCATTGCATGTCGTTATAGGGTCATTACTCCTTGTTGTAGGATCCGATGGTATCGAGATTGATGCGAGCGGTATTGGTACGAGTGCCGACTCTGAAGCATCTTTTCGTCTGCTCTTACTTTTCTTACTGCCGCTTTTCTCTTTCCCGTCCTTCGCCTTCCTTTTCTTGCCCCTTGATTGTGGATCTGAATCATCGGGGTCGCCCGATGGTGAATTTGGAACTTCCGATGGTCCTACTGAGCTTTCCCGAGTAGGTCTTGAACTTCTCCCGCTACTACCTTTGCTCTTTTTAACAGATAAAGCCTCAGGCTTGCGTGGTACCGCGGGTGGAGCAGTTTTCTTATCATTACCACTCTTATTGCTCTTGCTTCTTGATTTAGAACTTGTCGATTCTATTTCATCGGCAAAATGAACTACATGATGTGACGAATGCAATCCATGCGAATTTACTCTGCTCAGGGCATGCCCATCGTCGTGTATGTTGTCATGTATGTCATCGTGTATGTCGTCTCTTGGTAGAGGGTCCGGAACGGAAGGGGCTGTGTTATCATTTGTATTCGGGGTAGGATCGGAAGGATTTTCTATATTGTTATTCGATGCTAGCTCCAGCTCTATCTCAAAGTTAACAATACAATCCAATGAGTCCGATGAGATCAATTAGGTGCTACACATGAACACGTGAAGAGGAAGCTCAGCAATCCAAAGACAATAAATAGTTCATACCTGCTTCTGTAATATCTCTCGCTAGACTTTCTTCCGTGTTTGGGCTAGACTCTATCAATTTCGAGTCACTCGATTCTTCAGTCGTGGATGGAGGCTTGTCGCTTTCGGTGGACTGAGTTTCTTCTGTTAAACTGGGTACGTCATTATTCTCTTCCTCTTTAGAACCATCCCCCTCCTGTAAAGGTGGATCTTCATCCTTGGTTTCCGACAGCGGGGTATCGCTTGTTTCTGTCGTTTCTATTGGCTCCTCTGGGATCCCCTCTAATTTGTCCTGGGATTCATTGCCTTCATCCTCTTCTTCATCCTCATCATCGTCTATACCTTTGGTCAGCAATGGAATCTGGATCTATGTGGACATTCGACGTCTCAATTGCAATAGAAGTGGATCATTGAACCATGATTGTACCAATTGATCGAAAACAGCAAATGTGGAGAAGGGCGTAGAATGTAGAGATGCAGACATGAAACTGGGAAAGCTTACCTGTCTTCCCCTCATAATATCTGGCAATTTTGATTTTTGATGTATCCAATACTAAAGGTTTCGCCCACTGAGTTGTCTGTATTGAGGACCAATTACTATCAATGGCCGTGGTTCTGGCTGGACAAAAAGAAATATTCATACTGATGGTGTGGGTATCTCGTCACAAGCAACAAAAGATGCAGAATCTTCTACGTGAGAAACGAATTGAACGTCCTTCTTATTGTTGTCCTGATTATTTCCTCCCATGGTCTACAGTGACGAGGGGGGTTGCCTCCGGTTGAATGCGGGTGCCCAATCTTTGAGTGACAAAAGTTGTGGTTACCACCCGAAAATCGTTCAACGTGGTTGGAATAGAAAAGAGCACAATAAATGAAGGCCTCAAGATTACTTAAATCAGCTGATGGCAAGGCGAGATAATTCGCCTATAGGAAAATAGAATGAAGAATAAACGCAGGACTAAAAATGATTCGGAAGCATGAACGGAAATTCAAACGAAATTGGTTTCATTGGTAGGTACAAGAAGAAAGTCATTGACGAAAGAGATCATTGCTTTCACTCATGGCTTGATATCAGAGACGGTCAAAGGTCCCACGGCCATCCCATGATTTGCCAATGTTTGTCGACAGTATTAACTGGACTTTGCCTAAATCATGCTCGTGCTCAACCACTATTGGCCCAATATGATAGATACATTGCAGCCACGTTGCGGTCAAATGAATGATGGTAATCAATTCTGATTTTCGAGGCAATTCGCGATATTGCAAGGGCCCCGAGTGCAGCCTAACCTGCACATTGATGAGAAAGTGGGCAAGACCGTGCAGTAAGAAAATTCAGAAAATTCAGAAAAAAACCCATAGTGTAAGGTTAATAGTCGATATGCAGGAATATATCCGACAAATGGGCCAAAACCCTTGCTGCTTGCAGCTTTCATACGTCGTGCTAACTGGGTATCTCACCAGAAAGATGTGGGACATTCGATTATGAGAGAATCCTACTGGTTAAAATCACCCTTTTGAATATGTTTGATGTACAAGACTGGTACCCGAAAATGTTTCGCGGTAGTGTGCAGCTTGACCTGGTGAGTGTGCAACGTGGTCGCCTTGTATGCCTTATCTTAGGATACTTGCGATGAACTACCAGTCGAGCCACTGAATGAAAGAATATTATATATATCCAATTTATCCTGATCATGGAATTGAAAAGATTGTGCCGGGGGAAGAGGAAGAGTCACAAACCATAAGCACACCCCTTTCAGACCCCGATAAATGACAATATCCATATGATATCGTTAATTGTAACCGGTTGCCACACCAGTGGAACTGTTGGTGCTGATGCCCAGATAGTGTTTGCGACCTTGATGAGTTGTCAATACAGTACATTGCATTGCTTAGTACCTAGGTAAGTTACTGTATCCATCCTTTGGGTGGCCGGGGTATCCGATGTACGATAATCTTCAAGGGGGCTAGGGTCTAAACCTTTAGCGACTCCGTTGATGATATGCTATTACATCAAGCCTCTAGAAAATGAGGGGCTAATGTACACATAGTACATATATTTCACGTTCTGTGCTTGTGTGGGTGTGAGCGACAAATATAAGTGGTTAGAAAAATTCGAGGTGGCTGAAAAGAGAGAATATCTATTATTAAAGATGATCTGGATGAGCTGGGTAACGCTGGGATTAGATCTCGACCCAAGTCTTTAAAAAGAACAATATTCCCCCCCAAGTTATACTTTTGGACATATTTTGCAAGTCATGTCTTCCATTGTTGGAAATCCAATGTCTCAGCTGGGGATTCCTTGAGAGGTGAAAACATGACTCAAAAAGCGAGGCTGACATGATGGATACCTGCTTTAGGTTTGTATGTATCAGTTCCCTCAGATTGGGCGGTGAATAACTAGCATTAGCATGTGAAGGAAAGTACCGGTATCCACAGACAAACATTGTTACATTGTATGTAGGTAGATGCTATTCTTCTAATTTATTGGTAATAGAAGGTATTTGGTGTCTGTTTGACAAATGTACAACAAATCCCAAACGCCGTCGCAGTTAATGGATTCGAAACCCCATATCCTTTCTTGTGCAAACTGAAAATGAAGCTGCCCGTGCCCTCCCAAATAGAACTCGCACGCCCCCATACACAAAATAAACTAAAAAACCCAGAAACCCCAGGGATCCGCTCAATGTTAAATTTACTGTCCTTGAATTACATAGCCATCTCAGCTTGCAGCCTGCGGAGTTCTTCTTCTTCGTCATCCTCTTCAACATGAACAGGTGCTTTGGATTTGACTGAATTCGAGTGTTAGTGATTGTTAGCACAAGTGGATGATGGCTTTCAAAGGCTTACCCTCTCCATTCACGACAGATGGTAATCTATGAACCTCATCGGAGACTGGCACAGAACCAGTCTTCAGCATCTTATTGTCCAGCTGCTCTTGTTCAAGGTCCGCTAGTTCATCTTCCAGTTCAGCCTCATCTACAGGCTCGCCGAGATGCGTGCTAGTAATGGCTTGGGCAATTTCTTCACCCAAGGCATGCTGTTCCCGAAGTTTGTCCCTATAAAATATTAGTTTTAGCTTCCTAATACGAGAGACAAAAACATACATCGTCTCATCGACCTTGTTGATATCAAGTTTCCCATGAATAGCTGCCATCGCCTTGCCCGCTTTTTCCATGGCAAGGAGAGTCTCTTTGTTAATATTGGCCGCTTCGATGGAATATATTTGTTGTTCTAATGTCGATATTTGCGCAATAGTTTGGTCGAGAGTGTGTTCGTGTTGCTTCTTTCGTCGCAATGCAGCCTTCGCAGCTAAAATTAACCATTTGTTAGCATTGCAATGTATACAGCCCAGGTAGCAGAACATACCATTCTTGTTGGTGCTTACGTTCTTCCTAGCTATCGCATCTTGTTCTTCCATTTGACTTTGTAAATGACGCTCCCGTTTCTGTAACATTTCAAGCTGCGCACGTAGTCCTAAGATAGCATTTTTCGGGGAGTCCTTCGCCTTCTGGGCACTCCCTCCCCCGAACCAGCCCCAAACACTCGACATATTTCACCAAACTGTGCAGACTCGAGATCGTTCAGTCGGCAGGACTTTCAAGCCCCCAGCGTCTTCTCGCAAGTGATAAGGAGATCGAAGTGGCGACTAGTATTTAGGTATGGTGATAGTATCTGCTGTCGAGACTTGATAGTGGGGATCTTGGAATTGTCGGACAAAGACGGTAGAGATAAGTTGAATAAGTTGAATATCAGTGGAAGATAGATAATCTGTGATGTCGAGTATCTTTCACTGGTAATGTTCTATGAATCTTTTTGTGGTTGCCTACGGGTTGTTTCGCATCGAGGTAAATGATTAAAGAGTGTTAAACACGGCGTTGATGATGACGCTAGTCCCCTCGTCAAGCTTAGCTTAGCGCAGTCTTAGAAACATGAATCACGTGCATTGTTTCGTTCCAAAGTTCATCTCAATTTCTGCCAGGCAAGTTACGAAAGCCAACAACAACCACCACATTTTTTGATCCTACTTCTGTTTTATGGTTTTTATTTCTCTGGTTGCATTGTGCGAACGATTCAAATGTCTAAACAATACTCAGGACCTATTCCTTCAAAGCTTACATTACTTGCCAACCTTCTACAGTTTTCACAGGGGGACAAAGTCCGATTCTTGGGATGGTATGATTATTCTCTCTTCTGTTTTATTTCCTTTTTACACCTCAAATATCTCACTGTTACTACAATTTTTATCAAACACACACATTAGGAGAAGAATCCTCCTGATTTTGCCAAAGCTTGGCTGCTTACCAAGTCTGGGTTGAGCTACCCAAGTACTCGTTGCAAAAATCCAAAGTCCCTATATCAGAAAAAAGGTGAACTGACACCGCACCGTATATAGTGTGACAAGCTATGACAAAACTTCTGCCGTTCTTACCTTGGAACATAACTTTCCTGTTGACAACGGATTCAAAGCCTTTGTCAACATTCAACTTCTGTTGAATAGTGTACAGTCCCACGAGACTAAAATTGGAGAGTGGGTCAATGTTGTGGGTTATGTAGTCGACATAGGTGAATCCCAAGACTCCAAAGTCTGTCTATCTGGGTCCGGAATCGCTATTCAAGCAATTGTATTATGGTCATCTGGTCCCATACAGCTCGATGCGTATGAAAGAAGCCTTATGCCCTGCCATTGAGAAAGCGAAGGCTGTAACGTGCTAGTACAACGCTGGTAGGTATAGACAGGTCGAATTTGTCCGTGGTCTGAGCAAGCTAAAGAGTGCATCGCCAGACATTTTGCGACTTGCATAGAGAAGCGGAGGCGTTCTGCCAAATGTTCAATAATCATACTGAGAAGCTTAGCATGATCTCCACCAGCTGGATTTTATATGGTGCATTGCGCAAGATTTTCCGTGCCCGCCATTTTTCTGACAGCCTCAGAGCAGAGGAACTGATCTTACCACTTGAGGTCGTGCATTACGAAGTTTCTTATCTCCCTTCTATGATTCAATCACCACCTAAATCATCACAATTTCATAGATCAATCAGTGATCCAGTAGCACACACTATCATGAAGCTACGCGGCGCGAAGTATCACCTTTGAGGCTACCGAGACTGAGGATCGAGGCTTGCAACGCTTTAACACACCAGCTTCAGTATTCGCTCCTTCCATGGTCCCAAATTATCAAGTTTTCGATACAGAACGAATGTCAATGGCTATATTTGAGCTGTGGCATGGATTTTATTATCGATATGGCCATCACAAAATTTTAGCCATGAAGACCCGATACTCTCTCTGCACTGAGATAGAATGCTGCAATACACGTTTTATCTCGCTTCTTCCTTGGCTGCAGACCAATTCAGCCTAACGCGCTATTCAGTTGAACTTGAGAAATAGCCTTACCTCAATGTTGATGTTCGGGGCTGTGAGACCTCAAAGAGTTGCCATTTTTGGTTGCACAATAAACTAAGGCCAGTTTAGCTTCCAACTATGAGTCTAGTAATGGGCATGATTGAAACAGTCACAGCAAGTTCGATCATCTTACTGGTGTAGCATTTTCGCTTGTCCTTGCTCGCATTATTAAAATCATTCACAATATCCTTTCCGGATACTGATATTACTCGGCGCACGAACATCTCAAGAATAATAATGGTAGCAGATAGATCGCAATACTCGTCACATTGGCAAGTAGATGTAGAAGTACATACAGGTTTGCGCCACAAATTCGAATCCAGATGAACCAAAAAAAACCTTAATGGAAAATTAGAAAATTAACACTGGCGAGGAAAAGATGAGTGCGAGTGCTATGCATTTTTACTCGGGCGACAGCCTTACTCCTACCCCGTGGCGCGATGTCTACTCCTGAAACCTCTTGTTGTTGAGTGAGTACGATACCACACTCTTCATCTCTTGTTGAAAGATCCATCCGCAGCTGGTCTGCATCATTCTGACTATCTCAGCCCATTGAAGTCAGAGCCGAAGTCCTTGTCATTCGAATAATCAAGAGCTTTTGTGATCTGGACGCTGAGATCTTGAGGAACGCGATTTTGAGCCTCTCGAGATGACGACTGGCTGATGTAGTGGTCGCTTCAGTTGCTTGTCCGACTCTTTCTTTGCTCGAGCCGCTGCCTGCTTTTCCCAGAGCTCTTTTGACTTAATACAGATATCGTCTATCTGCTCCTATATATCAAATTAATGGAGACACCTCAGGTTGTCTCTGGTACATGGTAGTGCTCACATCCGTCAGGCACTCTCCAGGCGTGCTAATCAGATATCCATCTTCTCCCTATGCACCCAATGAGCATAATTATCTGGCAGCGGAAATTATCATCACGTACGTCTCGTGTATATGGTCTCAGCGTAGATTCTGGTCCCAGGTAGTACTGGATTTCCTTGGTGATTACTCTCTTGTTGATGTCAAAATTGGGTATCCAGTATCGATTGAGTTGAGAAGACATTGCACTCGGCGATGGTATGACAGGAGATGAGTGCGAAGCAAGGGATTTCCAGAGGATATAGACTGATTGTGTACTACCCTATAAACCGGTCTAGGGCACTTTTTTTTAATGGATATTTGAGCAGTCTATAAGAGCCTTATTACGGCCAAGAAGGTGGTAGTAGACATTTGAGAGCTACCAACACGACTCCTTTTGCATCTTTTTGAAATCGGACGATTTTGTGGATCCATAGACTGTTGCTAAGTTAACTAGCTGAGTCAAGTTCGCAGTATCATTACACGTATCCGCATAGAGTTTTGCATACAATATAACATTCCGGGCGGTGTTATTGTTTGGAAGCCAATATCTTAATCGCCTTGTTGAGGCGGACTGGCGAGTTTGTCTCCTGGCACGCAATTGGCTCCAAAAGACCCCCAAGCAATCATAAGATACAAAAAGAAGACTAACCGTGCAAATGAAATACAACGCTATGAACCGCCTCCGGTGCGTATTTCTCGTGGCATTCCATTGCTGGAATATGAGGATAATTACATTGCAGTAAGACTACGGTCGTGTTACAAAGAACTGCAGCAGGGTGATTTAATGCAAAATCAATATCACGAGGACATCAATCAAATTCCACGAAATGCCTCTCAACTTTTCCACATGCAACCCAAACGCTTTAGCTGATAAATTTGGGTCCCATCGACGATCCAGATTGAGTTTGGTACTTCTTGAGTTTTGATTTTGGGAATTCGGAGCGGAAATGTTAGAGCTTGCGTAATCGAGTGGGCATGCCTGTTTCAAAAGGCTCGATGGAGACAGTATCAAATTTGCTGATCAGCAATTTATGACCCAATTCTTAGCAGGTTCCTCACCTCTTGTCGCATATTTAATCATCAGGCAAGCACGAGCATTGGCGAAGGAAGTTCGTATCTACGAGGATCACCTAACCTCGTATGCATATCTCAAAGAGAAAGTTGATTTTTCATGGTTCTCGGTCTTCTACAGTTATAGACATAAATCCTTTCCCTGGTCTTGTCTGAGTTGTTGTTTCATGGAAATCGAAAATATATCTTTTGGTGCCCTTTGATCCATTACCTGCTCAGAACAAACTCATACCCTTATTTATGTCGCATGCATGGAGGTCTTTTTAAGACGCTAGTATTTCCACTGCGACGTATCATGAGGCTTAAAGCAATCAAGCTGGGCGAAGTTGACCGGATACTATAGTCGAACAAGAGAATTTTCGTTTCTATTACTCTACCTGAGGAGAAGAACATTAGAAGCTCATGGTAGATATCATATTTGTCAGAAGTATCTAACAACTGTCTAGTGTGAAGTTCGTGGGGGTCCTATAATACCATCAGAGCTTTCTCCGTGCAATACACACAGAGAAAAGATAGGCATCTACAACTTGTGAATCATGAACACCACCCACATGATACAATGCTCCTTAATCGGCTTTCTGGAACAATTTTTGTGTTAAATCATCATCATGACCAACAATATTACTCAATCTGCATCATTACGAGGAATCTATTTGAACCTTGACATCGTTCGGCTCATTTTAGAAATCGTGGCAAATTTTGCTCCGATCATTAGAGTATGTATCTCTCAATCCTCCGATTAGGAAAAATAACTCTTTTTCTACAGATAGCATTTGCATTCCATACAGATGATTCGTCTCACCGGATCTGAGCGTGTAAAAGACGTTATTTGTCCAAAAATCGAACTATTTGTGTCCCGACTCTTACCGTCTATGAACTTTTCGTTGTCGGCAAAAATTTGAGCATTGGCGAAGGAATCTTTCTACACGTCCGAATACAAAATCGCTCATTTCAACGCGGGGAACTCACTACTTAACCGGCCTTGCCCGACACTACTATAGTAAATCTCGGCAATGCATGTGTGATCTGATTTTCGAAATGCTACGCACAAATATATGTGGCGGTGGAGTTACATCTATAACAAGTTTCCGCTTGGTGTGATCCGAGAAAGCTCATCAATTTGTGGCCCCCACGTGAGAGAAAATTGAGAATATATGAAACTATGTAATGTGATATCAGAACTTTCCAGCGAATATCCAGGGTTCCTAAATTGTGGATAGCGAAAATGAGGTTCTAAGTGCTTGTTTTGGAACTTTTTTGCTAGTATCAAATGAGCATTTAAAGTGACAGCGAGATAAAGCATTAGGTTCAAGTGATCTACTCAACACCAATTATACGCTGATTGACCGTCAGGATATCTGACTGTGGCTGAAAGAGGAGTGATGCAGGGAGCGGTAGCACGGAAATGCATTGTCGATTTCGGGGCAACCGCCTCAAAGCTCTGCAGTCAGTAAAGTCGATGACGTCTAGCGACACGACATCAATGCACACAGCGACATGATATCCTGGACGACACGCCAAGGATTGCAGTTCATCCGATCTCACTGTGCATGAAACAACTTGACAAGTACATAATAACCGGTACAGGGAAAACATACATGGCCAATAACGCAGCCAAAATCCCATTCATCTCTATTGATAACCAGTCGTATCACAAAACAAAAGTCACCAATACATAACATTTATTTGAAACAGGATCCATATATATTACCTTGCGTATACTGCACATGCAGGCACACACACATGCAGTCAAATACCCGCACAACCTGTAAGCTACTATATCCATGCGCCAAGCCTTCTATGCACGATTATCTCATCTATCTAGCTGGATATGTATAAGTATGACATGCACCATTAATGGTATTCAACGGAAGAGCATCGAGTACCTATTCATACCAGTTCACATATACCCAGGTCTGACGGAACCACCTCCGCACCGTATAGAGAAACGGTATCGAGGTATCGATATGCAGGGTTTGATCCTCAAATCCGGCGATGGGGTGAGGCGGATGGCATATGGGACAGGTTGGGGAGGTATGAAAATCTAGGGACTAAAGTTTGGTAAGGAAGGCATTGGAGTTTTGGTTTAGTGCAGGAGGAGATATTTTGATGCAAAAATTTCTGCGCATCAAATGGTTCTGGTATGACCTTGGTAGGTTTATCTACTATGCAAATGCAATTTTCGCTATTTTATCAACGATATGTATGGTATCGTCTCAGGTTTAGCACTTGAAAATTAAATGTTGAATATTGAAATTCATGGTTACTGTGTGAGTGAGTGAGTAAATATCTACTCTATACAAGTACAGCATTAAGTCTAGTACTTTACTTTTCGGCCACCCTTAATTTCGGCTATCTTTTTATATCAAAAATCATCATTTTTGACTATTAATAATTTTACAACTAATCAATAGAATTTGAATTGTATATTCATTATATAATTATAAATCAATTTTGAAAATTTTAGATTTTTTAAAATTAATTTTATTAAAATTTATAAATTTAAATTTTTCAATTTTTAACTTATATAGGATTTATATATAAATTTGAAAATTTATTAAAACTTTCAATAACTTTTTAACAAAAATGATTAAAAATAAACTATAAAGAATTTTTAAATATTTATATTATAATTAATCAAATAAATTAATTTATTTTCAAAAAATATTTACAAAAATCCTTTTTGTTATAAACCTTGTATAAAGAATGATTATCTGATTTTAATTAATCGATAATTTCTATTGGTGAGTTGATAATCTATATATATTTTTCTAAATTCATTTTTTTTAATATAATATTATAGTCACCTTAAAGAAGAAAGTATATAATCATATAATTATTGTATAAGTATTTTGTATATATATATAAATGCTCTTTATAAGTTATAATTCTTCAATTATAAATTTTAAAAAATATAATTAATCTTGTTTATTTAATTTTTATAAAGCTCTTGTACATTACATTTTTAATAAAAATATTGTAATTTTTAATCCTTGTAAAATCTAGAAATATAAATAAAAAATTTTCTATATAATTTAAAATTCAAAATCTTAATCTATTATATATTGTTTGATTTGAAGATTTCAAAAAGATTTATAATTTATTTTTAATAATTTTTGTTAATTTTTTTTAAAAAGTTATTTTAAGTTTTAATAATTTTTAAATTTATATATAAATTTTATATAAATTGAAAATCATTATAATGTATAAGAGCCTCATAAGAGCTGAATAAACAAAATCAATTATATTCTTTAGAATCTATAATTGAAGAATTATAATTTGTAAAGAGTATTTATATATATATATAAAATACTTATATAATAATTATATAATTATATACTTTCTTTTTTAAAATGATTATAATATTATATTAAAAAAAATGAATTTGGAAAAATATATATAGATTATCAGTTCACCGATAGGAATTATTGATCAATTGAAATTATATAATTGTTTTTTATATAAGGTTTATAATAATTATAATTTTAATTTTTAATTTTTTAATTAATAAAATTAAAAAAAATCTAAAAATTTTAAAATCTATTAATAATTATATAATAAATCTATAATTAAAGTTTCAATTGATTTCATTTATTAATTATTGAAATATTAATAATTGAAGATTATAATTTTTGATATAAAAAAGTGTCTCAAATTAAAAGTAGTCTGAAAGTGAGTATTAGATTTAATATTACGATTTATGATTTTCATTATAATAATATTATTAATATCGGTGATTTATATACCGACTACAAAAGAGATATGATTTAATTATTACTTTTAAAGAGTTTAATTATCTAAATTTAAGACCTTAGAATTCTTAAGATAAATATCTTAGATAATTATATTAAAATAGAATAAATATCTTAATTAATTAATTATAATAAAATAATCATTCTAAAGAATATCTTATTTTAGAATCATAATTCTTAAAAGAAAAACTTCTAGAACAAATATTCCAGGAAAGTAAAAGCCTCAGGATCAATTATATAATAAGGAGTCTTAAAAGCTTGAAAAGCTTTTAAAGCTTTAAAGGCTTTTTGAAGTTTTAAAACTCTATAAAGCTGTAACGATCTGGTCGAGGCAGCGGCTGCCTCAGGTTTTCGTATGGTTAGTAGTTGTAGATTAAGGCTAATAATCATTGATTATTTACTCGAAGGTGAATACATTACTAAATCAATTGGAATGTAGATAAATTAATTGATAACTAAATTGAATACGAAGCTTTTAAACTATAAAACTATTCTGATTATATACTAATGAATGTAAAGGAGCTTTGTAAAGT